TTGGCCATGATGATGTACCAGTTTCCTTTCATTGGATAGCATAATGCAGATACCGGATGGCAAATCCAAATCTTGGTGATCCAACTCTGTTCGAATCCGGGAAGCAAAAAACACTACCAACAGCTGCCAAAAAGACGCAATAATATTGGAAAATGCTACTCATGATTATGCTGTTTGGGCTTTGCCGAAAATCATCAAACAACAAACGACTTTTTTTGCGCTCGAAAGACGATCCTCAGAGTTGACAACCTGAAAACTTTTGTTTAGAAGATACAGTATCGTAGGCATTTAAAAGGACTGTTGGACATGGCTGTTGTTGGACCATCTTGTTTGACCCAGCTACTGTTCATGTCTCTTGTGCGAAGGTGCCATGCCATATGACCTTTTGCCAGGCGGATCGCAGTACACTTCCAGAGATCGAAAAGAAGAAATTCTTGGTGCCAAAATGTATGCTTCTTGGCCATTGCAAGATGCCCCATGGGATTAGCAATTCCTGGTTAGTAACTGCATGGGTCAAAACCCACACAAACATCCCAATTGCAACTCATGTACGAACTAGTTGACTAAGTCCATGTCCATCCAAGCAAGCTTGGCATCTTTCAAACTGGCGTTTGTTCGTCGGCCATCATGTTTTTGACGGTGTATATGTACATTGTCAAACACACCACTAAGAACCGTTGTTTAGTCTTGGGATGTCTTGGGTCAATTAATAGCGGTTGGTGCCCTTGCAAGTGGGTGATAGGGGAGGGAATTCATGGGAATTCCATATCCGGCACGTACACATGCATAACGATTCACCCACCATAGGCCATCGGTGTGCCAATGACATTTGCATGACATTGGCATTTTACCCCGGCCGGACATGCTGGTGTGCTATCATCACCTCATCACAATTGTGGCGTAGGTCAGGCCGGAATCCACATTGACAGCTCCATCTATATGATCCCATTTCCCATGTGGGGATGGATCAATACCTGTTAATACCATTTTTAGGGGAATGAACATCCATTTACCAGCTATTTTGATGTTCACCAGGGGTACAAGGTTTTGACACACTACCATGTGTGAATCTCATGTTTGAATCCCGTATGAACTCCCAAAATGGCTAGATTCAATATGAAACCAGAATTCGTTTGGGGGTATGGGAACAAAAAAGTCCCACGGGGTTGCCCCGCCTAATGGCCAGGCCCTGTGGTGAGTTCTCTGCGACCATCTCGCAGCACGTCCGCGGCGCAGCCAATGGAACTAAAACCCCTTTGTCTGCCGAACAGGCAGCGCAGATGGGGTGTCCACTGTGGTGATGTTGCTATAAAAATTGGTGACTTGATGTGAACTGGCGATTTTGCGGGAAACATCATGAAGATGGAAAATGTTCACTTTTTATAGTATGTGAATGTGGTAAACCCGATCAATTCCAAACCATTCCCAATATATGACCATAAATGGGATGTATAGACAGGTATTAACCATCCTCAGAAGTAGTGATATTAGTGGATTTACGAAATACCACATGGTTTCTTAATTCTTTGCTCGCATTCGGGATGGGTGGTAGTGTAATCATTTGCTGATCCCCTTGAAGGGCATGGACATCCATAGAATTACTGATCATGGCAATGTGTGGGGATGGATCAAAACATATCATACCATATTATACCATATTTGCAGCAGCTATTTTGGAATTCCTCAGGGGTACAATGTTTTGACCCATGGCCATGTTCATGAGTGAAGCATACAGTGCTAGTTTTTCTATGTGCCATGCGTTGGAATGTACCAATCTTCAGCATGGCCATGCCACCATCGATACGGAAGTATAATCGTCAATTTTCCACTAATGGTTAGATGACTGCAGGGCCCATGTTTTGAATTGCTTTGATCCTGGAACATGTGATATCATGTGACCTGGGTCTGGGTCAACGTAGGTCACCGTGCTTCATCCCCCCACGAGAATATTGACTGCTGTGCCAGGGTCTGTACAACATTGGGGTACCACCCAGACAATGACATCAGTTTGTCTCAAAATATGATACCCCAAATTCCACTGATTTATTATATATATATATGTTTCACCATTAATATTAAAATTGCAATGTGGTGGGCATACCACATGTTCAGGCAAACGTCTCATCTATGATATATTTATATTATTTTATCTTATATACATCCCATTGTTCAGGTTCCATTTCCATCTTAGACGTCCCGGATCTTCTTAGCAGATGAGTTGACATGACCCAGTGGATTTTGGTCCTTTTTCGATGCCCTATTATGGCATCGCCTGGGCCCCAGACTATTTACCTTTTCCTCACCGACAGCAAGAAGATTCTGAAATATGGACAGACGGTTGGACAGGCGCGTGGGAGAAGAAGGGCAGCAAATTCTGCTTAAATTTGATATGTGTTTCTTTAAGATCAGAGTAATTGGCTTAAATTTGGGCAACAAACCTTCCAAAGTGAATTGAACCCTCTCATGGTCCAGTGCCTTGGAAATTTGTGGAAAAGTCGTTCTTTAACAAAGGTTTAATAAGATGTTGGATCTTATCGGAAAGGGAGACAACAACACGTGTTTCATACAAAAGTGCTATGTTTTTTCGCTCTTACTTTTTTAAGAAAATGTATGCCATTTTTTCCACATTACAGTCAAGGGTCAAAGTCGTAGCGATTTCACAGTTTTGCTTTCATACCTTGCGGGAAAGCTTTTGGGGGGGTCGTAGCGATTCTACATACAGAACCTCAAGACCAAAAAGAAACAGTCTTCCCTAGCCGAAATGTTGCAGAAAGAAGTAATCCTTCCGAAAATGCTTGATACTGCCAAAGGCAGGCAGGCTTGGGCAAATGCGTGGAAATACAACCGCTCTCAGCGGTATGTGAAGATTCAGATCTAGAAAGCGCAGAGGTGTCGCTGGGAAAAGTGTGCTCCTTGCAGGGATTAGGCATGTTTACACGATTTGAAACATCAACTAAATACAGCTTATTACATGCTATTTGGATCTATTGCTGTGACCCTGCTGTGACGGGGTCGTAGCGACTTTTCCGCAAGGGAATTGACCACATCGCAGAAAATTGCTGTGACTTCAGCCCCCAACTGTAGTGAACCGGAAGATCATATCAGGAGTGCTGATTTTTTTAGAACCACAATAGCGAACCCAGCTACTAATCAGGACCCAACATTCGTACATTAATTAAATCTACTATGTGCGATCATGGCGTGGTGGCTTTGGGTCAAGATGCTAAGCAACTTTGGTTGATCAGCTGCCAATTTGGATGATGTTGGGTCATGTTTAACTGTTTAACTGTGTCTACTTTACGTTCATGCAATATATAGATATTTTTTTTAACATTTGAATTATTACTGCAGAGAGATCTGTATACATCATATGTTGCTGAATGTGTTCACATTTTTTAATAAATGATAAAAAAACTCATAATTTCTTCGGGTGAACCCTAGACATAGTTTCTGGCATACCATGTGGAAGTATATATGGCATATTCATTCTAACATTCTATCTGGCATTCCTCTGCCATATGCTTTGACATTCTATTCCTATCTTATATTCTATCTGGCATCTGTTCTGGCATACTATCTGGCATATATTCTGACATTATTTCTGGCATTCTATCTGCACCTGCTCTGACATTCTATCTGGCATCTATTCTGGCATTCTATCTGGCACCTATTCTGGCATTCTATTCTGGCATTCTTTCTGGCAGTCTATCTGGCTTTCTATCTGGCATCTATTCTGATATTCTATCTGGCATTCTATTCTGGCATTCTTTCTGGCGTTCTATCTGGCATTTATTTTGACAATCTTTCTGGCATTTATCTGACAAAAGGCGTCTGGCTGAGGTCCGGCAGTGCCCACTGAAATCTGGAGCTCACGGTTGAGGTCCGGCTGTTGATTTGGAGATAGCCATACGCTCTCCAAATGTAGCTTGTCCTTTGTTTCTCAGTGGCGTGGATGCAGCAATGATTGAGATCTAGCACTTCAAATATACAATATACAGTGCTTAAACTCGCTTTCATGCCTTTTGGGGGTTGCAACTCGTTATGATCTATTGCGAAAAGTTGACTCAGTGATGACAGGACTGATACGGTACCAACAACATCTTCGGAGAGCATTGGGTGCTGGTATGTTGGCCAGTCCTGTACATTCAGCAGTTGGTTGGCAAGTGATGCCATGTTCTTTTACAGCTGCAGCAGGATGCAGAGAAAATACTGTGTTTGTAGCACCAACCAATTGGCCTGAAAGGCGCACGTACAGAGTTAGGTGTGGGTGCTGGTGTGGTTGGTACTCATGCACATACAAGTCATTGGTATTATTGATTGTTTTCTGCTCTTCTACGTTCAGCACAGGACGCTCAAGAGATCGTGGTTTGGATGGAAAGATTGCAGGATGCTAGAGCAATCAGATCTCTTTTTATTGTGCACATTTACTACTAGATCACATCTCAGAGAGTGAACAGGAACTGCATAAAGGTTGACCTGGCAATGGTTGTGAGCACCAGATGTTTTTGGTGACGGCGCCCACGGAGGGTCCTGTGGTCTGCGTTGTCAATAACGATTTCCTGCTACGTTGTAACCTCTTCTTCAAGTAACTTTCAAGATGTTCCTGATACGTTGCAACATCTTCTTCAAGTACCTGTAAAAACGTTCCTGATACGTTGTAACATCTTCGTCAAGTAACTTTTCAAGATGTTCCTGATGCGTCGTAACATCTTCGTCAAGTAGCTTGTAAGGCGTTCCTGATACGTTGTAACATCTTCGTCATTTAACTTGCAAGACGTTTCTGATACGTTGTAACATCTTCTTCAAGTAACTCTTCAAGATGTTCCTGATACGTTGTAACATCTTCTTCAAGGAACCCTCAAGATGTTCCTGATACGTTGTAGCATATTCGTCAAGTAACTTGCAAAAAAAACCTGATACATGTCGAGTGGAACAATGTGGAACATGCGGGCCACAAAGATGGACAATTTACAAAAATTGTCTCAAATGGATCCAAAGGATCACGCGTAGCAGGCACACAGGTCATTGACCGCACGTGGGATCATATGAAATCATACATCCCACGACTGTCTTCAAGGAAATTCAAAATGCACATGGAACAACAGCTGCTTTGATGAAACGCTGCCTAATATGGCAATGGTTGCACGAAGTGTTAGCTCCTGGCTAATTCCTATTTGATCAGTTAGGAAAGCTTTGTAAAAAGCACAACAACAGAGTTGGACTATGTCATCTCGCATGAAGATGAAAAAAGAGCGGCGATTGTCCACTTTCAGAAACGCTGAAAGCGCCGCACTTCTACAGGCGCCGTAAACATGTTTTTTTCTTTTTCCAATCTTGCAAGTCCAGGTTCCGAAGAAAAGATGATTAATTATATCATGCCCTTTGCAGTTCCGAGATGCGTTGTTTCTTGTCATTTGCGGGAGGAACCTAGCAAGAATTGATCGTAGAGATCTGGAGCTCGCGGTTGAGGTCCCGCAGTGCCCACTGAGATCTGGAGTTCGCAGTTGGGGACCGGAAGAAGTTGGTAGGCATTCACCTTTGATAAAATCCCGAGACCCCCACCCGGGCCCGGCGCGCACACACACATATAATAGACAATGAGCTAGAAAGATCTAGGAAGATCATGGTAGATCGATATGTAGATAGACAGACATGCAAGGTGGGGCCCCTCAATGGTTTCTAACCCACAAACTACAGGGGATGGAAGAAATCCTGCACCAGTTAAAAGATGCTTTATCCCATTGTTTGTGAGGTGTCAACCATTCAAGGTGGTGCAGGATGTACGTCTTCCATCCACACTAGTTCGTTATATCATTTAAAATCTACCGAAAATCACCAAGTAAACTAGTTCGCAACTTAGTGTCGGCTCGAGGCATGGGATGAGCTGCGATCTGAAGATGGTTTTCTGCGCATGAGCTATACCAGCGAGAACACATTGGGCTAATGCCGCCACCTGGTGATTTTTAATGAGATATGGGCATGCATTTGGTATAATACAATTGGGAAATATTTGGATTTTAAGCCAGCAAATGATATAAAATGATATCCTGGCTGGGATGACCATGGGAAATGGGGATTAATCAAAGGTTCATGGGCATTTGTCATGAGATAGAACCATGCCAATTACATCAATCTAGCATTATGGGGGAGGATGGTCGAAAGTGGTACAAAACCAGCCTATGTTTGTATAATGTGAACCTGTTGTTTTTTGCAGATGTAACTAATGTAAGCAGCTCTATACAGGGATATACGCGGACAGTACAGCAAATGTCATCCATGGGATATAAAACCAATAATTTGATTTGGTGTTTTCTAAAGATGGTGGATTTACACCATTTTACACCCATTGTATGGCTATCAGGGAATATGGTGATTAACACATGGATTTGGGGCAAACTAATTTCAGACAAACCCAAGGATGAGAAGATGGGCCTGAGCCAGCGGAACTGGTAGAACCACGGGGTGGCTCCATTCCACGGTAGGACAAATTTTGTAAAATCATGCGTGTTAGTGGCATGATCAAACAAACCTTGCTCTTGAAAAAAATGCACCATGAGCGTTGTTCAGAGGTTGGCCTGCGCACCTCAAGGTGCCATCAGCTCTGAGAAAAAACCTGGGCTAAGGGACAGCAGATGACCTGAGCAGTCGGTTGTGGCTACTGGACATTTGACACAGCTATGGAAATCACCATTTGTAGTAGTTAGGTAAACCATAAAAAAAATTGGCAATTTTACGTATTTATGTCAAATTTTCCAGATGGTATCCCTTTTTTTCTCATTTGTATAATTCGCAAAGGCATGCAAATTCATCCCTTTGTATACAGTTGCCGCTTCAGGACATAAGCTGCCCAGAGGTCCCCCAAGTCATTTATTTTTTCATACATGCTGAACAATTGATTGAGATCACAGACATGGTTTTACGATTGCATGTGGAAACTGATAGGGTTCCAATTGAAAATTCCGGAGATGTATGTAGAACGTTGTAGTTGTAAGTGCCTCTTGGCAAACCCAGTCATTTGCAGATAGGCAAAACATCCCAGTCCCAAACAATTCACCTGTATAAACGTATAAGTGTACCAGGTATAACAGTTAATGTTTTAAACATGTTTAGCCCAAACCAGCATACCCCCAGCTTTACTACTCAAAGAGCTACGGTAACTTGGAATATCTCATGGATTGTGTCTTCACTGTTCTGGAACAACTCATTGGCATGATTGGCAAATTGGGACCGGAGGAGGGCAACAGTTTCCCTAGCAAGACTGCTTCCTGCTTGTGTTAAAACGGGGTATGATTCATAGCCAGTGGCAGATTCAAGTTTCTAGAGACTGATTGGACCAAATCCTAGAATGGATTTCAAGGCAATTCCACGAGAAATACCTAAATCACATCACTGTAATTAGTGTCCAAGGTTTTGCCTTGAAACGCACAAACCCATCAAACAAAGTGGAGGTTTAGGCTGCTGTCCAGTTGGAGTGTATTTCAGGACTGCTCAGGTCTACTGTTGTCACGTGTGTAGTTACTAGGATGGCCACAAAGTGCCCTGCATGTAACAAGGTTTGACTGATGGACTTAGTATTTCAGGGTAATTTCATCTTAATGTTTTTCAGTTTGCCAGTGCTAATCATCCATAATACCATCCCATGTTTGGCCTCATTAGGCCTCATTTGTTTGTAGCTCCAGAGGATTCCAGAGGTCTGATGGCCTGAATTTAAGACTGGGCGCGCAGATGCTCAGCAAGCGGCCCGAATAGCACAAACGATGCTTTGGGCCCGTGAAGTTTCAATGACTGGCGTGGATATCCGGATGCAGGACATCTTATCATCTTCCATTTCTTGCTGCCAAGGTATCACCAGTATAGCAGTATTGCTGCTGCCATTGGCGGCGTAGCCCATGATATAGATGGAAAACGGGGATGCCCCAAGCCGAGATCCGTAGCAATTAAATGTAATAAAACCTGTGGGTGGCAGATTTTTGGGCCATCCATGGGTCGAAATATGGAAGATTTCAACCGCAAAACATAGTTCAACATGAGCACTTACCAGTTTTGATTCACAATTTAAAGCGTCATGTAGATCCTCTAAAATCTTTCGGATCCTGTGTGAATGTTCAGGGACGGAATGGCTTGCTTTGGCCTCCATGATCGTCTATATGTCCGTTTCAGATTTCACGCGTCAGAATATTTTGCAACTGGGACTGTGAAAGAAATGTTGCAACTGGAATCCACCGTCCAGCCTTAACAGCTTATTTTCATCACATTCATCGCTGGCACGAGGATCCCTAATGGTTCACCTGCCGCCGAACCGTGAAAAATGGCCGCATGGGACAGGCGGAACGGGCATGAGGATTCGATAGATGTTATATGATTTCTTTGTACAGGCGTATTCATATACGTATGTTTGTTGACTGATTCATGATTTCGTTTATTGATGCAACGCTATGGTGGTATATCTAGTTCATATGTGTGCGTGTTCTATGATTTCCTGGTATGAATAGTCATTTCCTTGTAATTATATGAACAATTCATTTCCTTGTGTATATGAATAACTCGGCTCCTTGTATGAATACGTTATTTTCTTGCATGTTTTTCATTTGTGAGATTTGCGCCCCCCAAAAAAACAGTAAATGCATGAGGACCTTCGGACCACCCGACGATCTCGTAAGGATAGCCACGGGCTTTGGGCGCACTGGAAAGCTCTTCGCCGCTGAGTGGGCGCAAGTCGTGCCGGACATCATGTGCATCGGCAAGGCGCTCACAGGCGAAGGGCCGGAAGGTGGTGGTTTCTCTTTGGCAACGGCTGAAACATGGTGAGACATGCTGAACTCTTGTAAGGTGGTGCCCCGAAGCCAGTTGGTTGGCTAATCCCTTCCTCCTAATACTAAACGTCCCCCTAATACTAAAATATACTAAAAACAGGCATCCATCTCCAATTTCCGAAAATTTCAGTTTGGCCAATTTGACTTTTAATTGATCCCCTTTAAAAAACAATTCAAAAATCAACCTACCATTTGTGGGTTCTCCCCCCTAATACTAAAAACTAATTCATCCCGGGGTGTTTAGTATTAGGGGGGCTAGTTTTTAGTATTAAGGGTTTTAATTTAGTATTAGGGGTAAGCTTCGAACTGCCATTTTTGGCAATATTTTAATTGCGTTATATAAGGAAATTTAATTGATTTTGAGATCGGAAAAAATAGTTTTTAGTATTAAGGGTTTTAATTTAGTATTAGGGGTAAGCTTCGAACTGCCATTTTTGGCAATATTTTAATTGGGGGGGGGTTAGTATTAGGAGGAAGGGATTATTTTCTGGTTTATACAAGTAAGCAAGATGATTAGCTAGAATTCATGGTGGATATAGCTAATGGGGAGTGCAAGACAACTAAAAACTGGACAGGGTGAAGTGATGGTATTTAGATGATTTAGATGGGGCATGGAGTTCGCTAGCTGGTTAGTATTACCTTACAAGGGGCATATATTTGATTGCAACTATAATTACACTACTTCACAAACTCCATGGCCCAACTGGGAATCATGTTCATGTAGTGATGTTAGCCAAGGATTACTGTGGGACTGGGGGTCGAGCAGCAAACCACCACAATTTGGGGACACCACCATGTCACAATATAAAAACATCATAATGTTGAAAATCATTTTGTTTAGTATCATATATATTATAAGATATAATAAAATAGAAAAGAATAATATGTAACAACTATAAAATAACATCATTTAATGTAAGGTCATTTAATAATGTAATACAATATCATGTAATGTCGTATAATAACATAGAGTGGAACAGACTATCACACACATATATATATACACATACACGTGTATAATACTATTTAATGTAATATACGAGCCTAATGTCATAGAATAGAATAGAGTAGAACAGAATCGAATAGAATAAAACAGAATAGGACATAATATAATACAATATAATAGAATACACTACAACATAATACAACATAATTATAATTATACAATAATATTGTTTCATAAAACGTAATTTGATATCACACATTGTAATGTATATATATATATATATTGTATACCTATCATACCAACATGGCTGGTGGCTACACCCATGTTTTATGTTCATCCCTTTTCGAGTTGATGAACTGGAAAATTACATGTTTTGACGGGTACATCAACGATAAACCACCTATTTTCCAGTTTGATATGTTCGTTTACCAGAGGGTATCGCATTTTTTGAAGCCGGTTGCTGGTTTCACCTTTAGTTTGGGGAAATTATGATGAAGCTGGCTGGGTCGACCGTGGCACATCCACCGTGTATCGGATGCCATATGATGCCATGAAAACGAAAATCTTATGTGGAATGCATTGGATCATGAATTGGCTTGAGGTCCCTGATGGATGTGTTTGAAATATGTGGGATGCGATCCTTTTGTGGCGATCAGACATGGCTGGGAAATATACCCTCTGCTAATCAAAGGTGGCTGGCTGGGTGCAATGGATCGATGGACAATCCCCGCAATTCGATAGTGGGTATCCCAGCCTGGTTTGATGACACGGGAGGGTGGATGGAGGTTTCTAGCTGGGAAGGAGTTGCCACAGGGTAAGATGTTGTAAATTGTAAACCCTCTGTGCTGAGATTGTCTTGTCAGAACTTTTCTAAAGGATGTGTCTGTCAGATTTGTTGATTTGTTGCTTTCATTCAAGGATTTTCAGCTCTTTCAATCCATCCGCCTTGAGTTGGTTTACGGGACATTTTCACACAACCTCGAAGATTGAAGGTAAAAACCTTGGTTTAATTAGCCTTGTTCGATTTTCCAAGAAAACCAATCATGCCTTTTTATGATCCCAAATTTGGGTTGTTTAATCATTTTTTTTTCCAAATTTGGTTTGTTAAATCATATTAAGACTCTGTCAGCCCCATGTTTGCAGCAAAGAAATCACCTTGATTCACCCTGCCCCTAAGTGCCGCAGGTGGTTACTGCACCTTGGGCGCCACCCTGGCCACCCAGAAAGTAGGCCATGGCGTGAGCGGTGATGGGACACAGCCCTTGATGCATGGACCCACCTTCATGGGAGCCTTGGACTTGTTGGACTATGGGAAATGTTAAAAATATAATTACCCAAAAACCCAATATGTATATATATATATATGTATAATATCCCAATAAACCCTCAAAAACAAACAAATCCTAAGACCTCGTGAAATTTAGAAACATGGAAAAACTAGGATTAGGAAAACTCCCTTTTTGGATTGGTTTAAGGGAGAATTTTTAGCGGAACCCCCGCCCTAAATTTCACGGGAAAAATCATAGTTTCTGGTTAAGATCACCGCAGTTCGAGGCAAGATGGGGATTTAGTCATTATAGTTTATGGCAAGGTAGGGATATAGTTTATGAAAAATTCAATGATTTTCATGAGAAACAACACCGTTCCAAATTGGGCGATCTCATGGGATTTGCATGGCGATCGAATGGGATATCCAACTTGGAATGTGCTGAGTCGATGATTTGTAATGCAGTTTCCCCATGGGACATCCATTAGAAATGGGGGAAAACATCTTGACCATCCAGAAATGGAGGAAGCGAAGGAAGCGAAGGAGCGTTCTGGGTACCCGTAGAACACCCGAACTGGTTGTTTAACATATCTATGGATATCTATGGTATAGATGGCCCATGTATAGATGATTTACGATGATTTACGTGTTAAACATGGTGAGTTTCCAGTTTGCTACGTTCAACAACAAGATTGTATTCCATATTCTCTATTCAATGGGCATCGTAAGATGCAAAGAGTTTCCCAGCAACGTGATAGTTGAAAGATGGTTTTGCAAACTACAAAGTCCTACACACGACAATTTAAAGAGGACACTAAGTATTGGACCTCGGGGTACCCCATTTCCAGACAATCCCTATGATCCATATGTTGAAATATCTTGAATGTGTCCGCTATGACAGTGTTACTCTTGGCTCCAACAGTGATTTTTCAGGTTCTTGTTCTTGGGTTTGGACCCAATATCCATCAGGAAAACTGTGGCCAAGATGTCCCCAGTGTGACGCAGCCCCACCGCAGTGGCGTCGTTTTAACCCTTGGAAAATCGCAGAGAGTCACACGGGGCTGCCAAACGATAGCGAAGCTGCTAAACGATTCACTTGGTAAATTCCATGTTTTAGTTTGGATACGGCACATCTAGTAAATTATCTATAGTTTATATTTATATCATTATTTGTAGATATATAGTCAGTATATCTACATAGTTACATAATTATCAATAGTCACGGGAATTACAGCAGCAACGTGCATAAGTCCGGGTCCCACGTTGCCTAAGTCAGGAAACCCATTGGCGTGTTCCATTGCAGCAGCCAGTATCCAATTGCTGCTCAGCAGCCCCTGGGAGAGTCGCGTGAAGAAGATTGAGGCGCTGCCGATTTGATGCTTAGCACATACCGTAGTAACTACCATGTGGTGCACCCAATAGCTAAGTTGGTTCATAGCTTGATTTGTAGATATATATATATATATCTAGAGCACGGTGTAGTACTATTATTACTAGCCAGTATAGCTACAGATAGATTGGTTTATAAACCAACTTGTAATTGGGGATCCGCATATTGTACCAGGAGTCCACTCTGCCGGGGATGCAGGAGCAGCTACGTCGGGAGCTGTCTCCTTTGGTTGCTTACCCTGAGGCAGGGGAGACTTTGTTTGGGGAAGCGTAGGTGAACAGGGGAAAGTCAAGTTGAGTCAGCCCTAAACAATAAAATTATTTGTGGTCACATCCAAGATTTGCCATTGTACTGCAACCATCCGAGCATCAGCATGCGGCGGACGAGAAGAAGATTCCGCTGGTTCATCGTGTTTTCTGGGGTTAGATTGTGCATATGATCCTTGACTGCTTGCAAAAAAACGCTTGAGGCATTCATGACACGTAGATATCCAATCCAACGCTGTATATTTTGTACAGGGCATCCAGTTGGTATTTTTTTTGCTGCAGTGAGATGCAGGGTGTGATATTGCTGATATTGCACTGTTTTTTTTTAATGTAAAATGCACATTGAAGGAAACAACCGATAGACGGAAAAGTGTTTCCAAGAGATTATACTTACCCCGCATGGTGTCCAATTTACAGTACCCCAGGTTCATTTTTGAATCTAGCTGGGTAAACTGATTTGAGTCCTTACGGCGACCTCACCAACATTGATGTTCAATAGCAAACTGTTAGAGCCACAAACCGAAATCATGCTCATTTCAGGTTTCTGAATTTTGTAGTGAGTGAGTTGCCCAACTAGTTTATTAGTTTCCAACAGTGCTTCAGGTGTCTGAACATTTAAATCCCAAAGAATGCGCAGCTCTATCTCCGGGGGGTTCCGTGATAGGTCAAAGATGTACGAGCCCTTGGTGCCATCGGCGTGGTGGAGTTGCACGCGCCACCCAAAGAACCGCAGAAACTGCAGGAGTGGGGCTGCAGGTCGATGATGTACTGCGGATGTTGAAATTGGGTTTACCCTCTGGTAATGGCTAACATATCTATTGAAAATGGCCCAAGTCGAAATAGTTGATTTGCCAGTTAAAAAATTGTGATTTTCCATAGTTTTTCGTATGTTTACCAGTGGGTACATAGTGTACCTATCACCATCCCCAACCGGATGAGTAGTTGCTGACCTTTGTTTTTTGCTGATGGAAAGCAACCAAAACCAGCAAATATATTTTTTTGTGCACTACCGAAGACTGATCATATCACCAAGGAATAGGTGGAATACAACTGGTTATATCAGATGTACCCAATGCGCGGAAATACCGATAGCTCTTGGATGAGGGCCCCCGAGCATGCTAAGCTTTCAATCACTATGAGTCGCTGGTGACCCTTCCCGCTAAAATAGCACCCTCCCCATATTATGGAACCTGAAACGAATAGATGCTCGATACATCTCGATACCAAATCCGGGTTTTCGGATCCTTAAACCTATTTACCCAAAGTCCATCATAATTCAAAAGGTCTTTTTCCCCAGACCATGTCCTTTCCAAACTTAATTCAGTGACACCTGGGTTAACCGTGCAGGGTAAAACATTCGAAGGATCTAAGACTAGCCATGATGCTTAGTGATACTTGGGTGTGTCTGAAAATCAACCCTCTCCCCTCTCCCCCCCAAAAAGATCTAGTATTTGTTCTCATGTTTTTTTGTTTGGTGTTTGGTGGGGTGAAATACCATATTCCTGCATCTTCCTCCAATTTGAATGGCGGGGGTATCACGTCAGGCCGCCTTTGTGGAACAAGGGGTTTGGCTGCGCCCCTTTGGGCAGACGATCTACACCATGCCCCCGCCCCACGGCTGGTGGATGGGTGGGGATCTTAAGAGATCTTCGGGTGGTTTCACAATGTTTCACACATGTGTTTTTGTTTTTAGATAGCCTGAGAAAAGATGCCGATAAATGGAAACCAGTAGTTTTCGGTGATGCTGTCTGTTTTCCCCATATATTTTTGTCAGGTTTCTCACTATTTTTGGCATCTTTTTGGGGGTTGCTGTATATTCAGAGCTGGTAATTCCATGACTACTGGAATAAACCACATCATCTACCCATATCCGACCAGCTGAATTTATCGGGAATTGAACCCCACACCGGTACAACAGAATTAATTGGAATATAAAACCAACTACTGTAAGTTAACTAAGTTCCTTTAGTTCAGTAGGTTCATTGTTTATTTTATTCTTGGTAGATATAGTGTGGATCATAAACCATTCTACATGGCAGGGTTGCCGCCTTAAAACTTGGGCTGAGTGGGTTGGAAGTTTGCATCCACATCCACTTGACAGTGATGACACGTTTGTTCGTAAGTTATGACTGGATCACCCTACTAGATGAAGTGGAGTCACAACTCACGTATGATTCTTGGGATCAGCTGCGAAGTATATCTGCGTGATGTTCTCCCAACTTTCGCTGACGAGGTTCGTCATTTCCGACGACGAGCTCGGAGAAATCTGTGCGGCCATTCGGAAGGTCCTTGACTCCGGCATCCAGCTGGCAGATTGAAAAAAGTGGGCCAACAAGTCAGGGGCACCTCGCGTTGCTCGCGTGGGTTGCAAAAGATGGACTAATATAGCAAACGCCAACAAAAAATCAATCATGAAAATAGTTGTGTGATGTTGTATGCTGTATAGAACAGTATATAATATAATATAATAACTTACTTTTCTAGGAACCTAAAATCCCGTGGTTTATCACTCTCCCCCTCAAATTTGGCCACAAGAATAAGGTATGTTATCACATGTTTGGACTTACCGTGACTTACCATGTTCGGCAAGCCAGCCCTTCCCCGCGATCTCTCCACCGCCAAGGTCGCACAGGATCTTAATCTTGGACTCTCCCGCGCAGACGCGGAAAAGGGCGCAGCGCGGACTGTAAATCAACTGTGTGTAGGCGTGCCCCAAAAGGTACAGAGCACGCAGTAAACAGCAGCAAGTGGGATCCATATCATATATACGTGTATATCATATATATTTATAATTAATTAATTTACATACACATACACATACATTTATCTATATATATATATAATGTATGTAGGTATCTATATATGTGACACACACGCACACACATGCACATACATATATATAATACATGTGCATGTGTGAAATGCTTTGGATTTAAATGCAGCTCTCCACGCCACACTGTGTTATATATACATACATATACACACACCGAGTTGCACACAACCACACACACATTTTCTCATATTCTTCATTTAGATGTAACCCGGCATAAAGTTTCTAGAAGATTCTTGGCAATGCTTCAGCTACTTGTGAAGGGGTGCAATTGTCCGTTCTGCCAGCCAGGGAGCCTTGACCAAGAGCATTTGGATGCATTTGGCAGAATCGTTTGAATAGAAATTTTCTGCGTATTGTTTCCGCACTGCATCTCACAAAGCGTCTTATGCTAGCTATATAGGCTATATATAGTCCACACTATGCTGGTCCTTTATTTAATTCTGGCCATTTCTGTTCTCAAGTCTTTCAACGTCTTCCGGCGTGCCCGGCGTGCCGTGTGCTCGCTGGCAAAATGTCGGAAGCGCAGAATTCGAATGAGCACGAGGGATGATGAGGATCATGGCTTGCGTCTCAAACAGTTTGAAACCCCAACAATTCCAGGGTTCATCATTTTGTCCCATCATTTTGATCTTCTGAAGGGTTGATCATGGCATTTCTTGTTGCCAAAAATATGGATTTGGCGGGAGTTTACTTGTTCATCATTATTTCACCTCCCATCCAGATTTTGGATAAGTTAAATAGTCATCGATCCAAACGAATCAGTGTAGAGTTGACTTAGCCGGGGCTCAGTCTCAGGCCCAATGCCGTAGCCCGGGGCCCAAGATAGGAACACTCGACAACCCTGAAACATCGGAATCTTGAAAGTGTATGGAGTAGTCTGGCGTCCCAATCATTTGGTTAATTTTGTTTAACAGTTCCGTTTGCTTGGATGCGCGGGCGATACCATGCCTGACTTCTTTTTGATAGGGTGCCTTCAAACTTGGCATCATGGCTGGGTTGCTAATTTAGGAGAGTCTCCAGATAGTTTCGGATTTCCGTAGGTGTCACACGGCATGAGTTTGTTTTTGACGTCTATCATCATGTTCGGTAGACTGGTAGTGCCACCAGCGCGAGACAGAGTTTCCAAGAAGGGAGTGGCATAGCTTTGGGATGTTACCCTTGCAAGAGTCCTGAATGCGTTGAATCCATTGACTGCCGTGGAATCACTTGAGATTGTTTCAAGTATTTCAATCCTTTTTGCGTTAGTAAATGGATGTAAGTAGAATTGAGATGAATTGGGCCACAACCATCCAGACACCCAGAAATCCAGCGGTTTCAGCCCAGCTTCCCTGGTTTTCTTCGAATCTGAGGTCTACAAATTTGAGAATTTGCCCGTGGAAGCTCGAAGTCAGGTGACTTGGGCAATCGGGACCTGGCTAGATGTCTTCCGTGACTGGGGACTGTCACAAACACTATTAGAACAAAAGTGGACACAGGTCCCTCATTTGTTCAGATTATTTTTCAAATCATATTGAACAATATGAACAAGGTTTCGGATGATACCCTTCCCTTTCAGGAGAAACATCCAATGGGGGTTTGGTTCCCATCCACCGAAGGGTTGGAACCCCTTGTAAAAACCATCTGGCTCCATGTTCCTGCGGAGTTGCCGTAGGGTTGCTGGGGCTGATGAAGGGGTGTGTCACTAGATGCACCACTTAACCATTGTTTGCACCTATCGAGCTGACTTGGTGAACTTCTGTGGTCCCATAGTCGGCAGTAGTACCAACTACTTGCCCTTGGGTGGACTTGGGACCATTTCCAGCTTTGCTTATTGCTTCGTCAAAGCCGTTTTTTTTTGACTTGATATGTAGATCGGAGAATTCACGATAATATGATAATTTATATAAACATATCTAGATGTTGTTTTTTCGTTGGTGATATATGGCATATATGGCGAGGTGACATGTATAGGGACATGTAAAATGACTATATGTGACTATTTGTGACTATCTGTGACTATGTATGGTTCAAGCTTGGGCCCTAAAAATTGCAGGCGAGCCTGCAATGGCTGGCTTCTCTTGGCAGTGCCATGCTGGTCGTTTTGCCTGGGACCTGGGGCGGTCCAAGCGAAGGGAAGGTCAACATCGGAATGCTACGAACGCTACTGTAACTGTAACTGATGGGTATTTATCAAAAGGTTAGGGTTAGGATGGGTTATATGTAGCCAATTTCCTGTAATTTCTTAAGGATGTTTCTGGTTTTCAATCGTTCAAGTGGATGCGTTTGATGGGAAATTTTCTGAGTGTTGGGAGTCAACGAGTCTGTCCAGTCTGGTGATCTCATCATGGCTGCGAGAATCTCACCCTTTGACGGCGAAGGTCAAGGCTGCTGCAGCCCTCCTGCAACAAGCCCCCTGCAAGAAATATGAACAAATAATATCTGATTCCCATACTGATGATACTCATGCCAAGTTCTGGTTGGTGGTTTGGAACATGGTTTTTTTTCCTCCATATATTGGGAATAATCATCCCAACTGATTAATATTTTTCAGAGGGGTTCAAACCACCAACCAGAAGTTTCTATGAGCCGTGCACGTAGTATGGGCTCTGAAGCCGTGCCTCCGCGGATGTTGGGCCCGAGCTGATGTACATCGCATTTTGCGCCTGAGTGTGAAAAGTGAGTGAGGGTGCATGTGTGTGAAGTTATGTGATGTTATGTGCCCATGCGAGATGTGCTCCAATCATGAGTATAGTTCACCAAACGTAATGTGCTACCTTGGTTCCCTGGGTCCTCTATAAGGTAGGTTTGGGTTATTGAAGACAGAAATAAAACAAAAATAGAGTTGATACTGCAACGCTGTTGCCTTTTGTTTTCCTGGGTTTTCCATGTGTTTCCTTTTTTTTCCCTAATTTTTCTTAAAGATTGCACGCCAAGTATCACGGTGGTATCACGGTGGAACACAATGGAGTACCACAAACTTTGTCAGAAAAAAAACGTGTTTTTTTCTCTCTTCACGTTTTGCATATCGCAAAGGACAACGCATTCCAAACGATGGTTTACGTAAAACAAAACTCCAGAAATTATAGTTAATTCAATAATACATGATATATTTTTCTTTTAATTTTTATATGTTTATATAATTTTATTATATTTTATTGATATGCTTTCCTCCTGGCAAGAGCAAAAGAGAGGACATATGTCAAAGTTTTGTGTCAATTGTCACAAGTAAGCACAAGTGAACATGTGTCTGTATACCCTGGCCTCGAAACATTGCCATCCAACCTCAGGTGAAGCAAGTGGAGTTGGAATTAAGATTTATCTAAGATTTTGCATATTCTCGTAGCATTTACAAACACAAGTATCAAACAAATTCCTGAGTTTCGGACAACTGTTTTTACCCAAGAACCCTATGATGAGATCAAACACATGATGCTTGACATGTGTTGAAAATCTAATTTGCAGTGGTTGCCAAAGATTGGGGAGGCAGAAGTTCTCCATGTAGTGCAACACACTGCATGCAGGCAGCTGGCACAAGTGTGAGACAAAAGTCACTCACACATGACGCAGCCGCAGAAACTCCGATGCAAAAGTCTGGGCAACACTTGACCCAAATTGTGGAGTGTAGCTACCTGACTCCTCTAGCAGGTCCTTCCTCCCGGTGAAACTTCGGCCATCTTCACTTCGAGTCACCAGTTGCTCACCTGACAATTGTTCCCTGGCTGGACAATCTCTGGACAGTTGATTGAAGCACACTCTGTTTGTCCATATCTGCAGCGGCTTCTGAGTGGGGCCAGCAAATGCTCCAAGATAAGTCTTCACACGATGAGCCTTCACAAATGACAACACTGACCTCATAGGAAGACACTTGTGCAAACACGAGTTGTCCGGCTGCTCCAAGCAGACCATGATGCCAATGACACACGACACAAGGAACATCATGGCTGCTACCTGCATGTGGCTATTGCCAGTCCTGACAAATGTCCTCGTGGTGTCTCCCCACCACTGGTTCCAGCCATACCTTTGGCTTTGCGCCAGACATAATATGACAAATGAAGAACAAGGTGGTCCAAGCCAACAAAGGCCATGTTCACATATGCTCATGAGCATATCCATCCAGAGACGAAGGCCACATGTGTCGAGACAACTGTGCATATGTGAATGGATGATGTCGAACCCAGCTCCTTCAAAGCCTGCTTTGATCATCTCCTTGGTCAAGTTGGCTGCGCCACACCAGTACTCAACAAAGTGGTGGAGATGATGTGAACACTGGAGCCTGTTGGCAAAAGCACGCTGGCACAGGAGTGACAGCTTCATCGCAAGGTCTGTAACTGGTCGCAGACATGGGTACAGTGAGTCCAGGAGAGGTGGCCACATCTTGATCGCATTCCCACCAGACACATGAAGATCATGTGCCAAGAACCGAGAAAAGGTCTCCATCAGGAACGACGACATTTGTGCACACCTGCAGCAGTCAGGGTGGGCAGCCAGGATAGTTTTGAAGACACT